TTATATACACACACACACTACCATTCAAAGGTTTGGGGTCGGTAAGATTTTTTATGTTTTTTTTTTCTCTATGATGTTCACCAAGGCTATTTGATTAAAAATACAGCAAAACAGACATACTGCGAAATATATTAAAATGTATTCCTGTGACAGCAGAGCTGAATTTTCAGCTTTTACTTCAAAAACAAAAGGTCTGTAACAATGTAAAAGTCTTTACTGTCATGTTTGATCAATTTTGTGTGTTCTTGCTGGATTATTAGTGTTTAAAAATCTTACATACACCAAACGTTTGAATGGTAGTGTAGGTGTTTACATATTCTTGAACATAAACGGATAAAAGAAGGGAGCTCTTTTTTTAACTTTAGTCTTCTCATTGGTTCATGCCACCTTTGGTGCTTTTTTACTGGCAAAATAATATCTAACAAACCACATTCATTTAATGAATGATCACATCCATTTATCATTATGGGACGTGAAATCCAAACGTGAACAAAATGAGAGTTAATCAGTGTGACGTGTAACGAGTGAAGGATACTGTTCCTCCAGCAGCATGCTCTCAATGGCCTGTCTTGTTCACACTAACAACAACACATCATATCCATTTTCAGAGTATCTTTTCATATAGTGTTAATCACCATTGCTAGCGCGATTTATTGTAATGCTTTTTTCCTCAGTTGGTCAGAACAAACATGGCAGACTTGTTACTTACTTGTTCTGATGACAATATCCGGTGAAAATTCTTATTTGGGTCATATATTCCAAGACATAGGCTAAATCTGTGATTCCTCAGTAACGTTACAGTACCCACACCGGTGCGGTGACTGACAGCCACACATTCACCTCAAAACATTAGATTCATCCGCGCTGGAGCCTTGCCTGCACACAACCCACGCAATGAAAATAATTCCGCAAGTAACTGCAATTGCAGGTTTCAAACAGAGATGGCGACAAAGAGGCAAAACTTACAAACTGCAGCTTTAATTAATTAGTTATGGAAAAATAACGCGATTAAAATATGTTAACGCACCGCCCCGCCCCTAGACCTGTATGTAATTTTATACAGTTTTATAAAGTTGACAAACGTGATACAGGACAACAACTATGTAGTCCATAAATGCAGTTATGTGTACCCAAAATTCAAGATATTAGGCCAAAAAAATGCTGCTGTATGAATTTTTGTCTCATAGTTATATGATAGGCGATATCACACGAGTGCAAAAGTGGTTTCACGAATGATTTCATACAGCAGTTAATAAAAGTGAATATTGTGTTTTATTTTAAACATAATATAGTCTGTTTTTCTCAGTTTGCCGACACAAATTTTACCTATTAAAACCACATCACATGTGTTGTGTGTCTCCAAGCACACAAAAACACAATTTCTGAATGAGTCCGCGTATTGAACGAATGGGGTGAACCAATTATTCAATTACCTATTCATAAAGATTTACTTCATTCCTGAATCAGCCGTTTGATCGAATCGAATAAATGAATAATTGACTCAATTACTTATTCATTAAGACATTTTACTACTGGTGGCAGTTTTAGTTTCTTTTTTAGAGTATAATTTCATTTAAAAAAATCATGTTTACATATTATAAAAAAACTATATTAATAAAAACTAATAAAAGGGATAGTTCACCCAAAAATTTAAAAAGAAAAAAATTATTTCTAATTTTTGTAATATCGATTTCATGCTTTTCTCATGTAACACAATAATGGCTTTAAGTGATCTTTTGTGGCTAATTTCTCAGTCAAATTCGATGTGCAATTAATTAGATTAATTAATTGCCACACTGTGTAATTAATTAGATAAAAAATTTAAACGATTGACAGCCCTATTAGAAATACTCCAAACTCAATAGTCTTCGGTGACTTAATAATAAGATGTATAATAATACAAAAGCAGGATACTCAACAAGCATCCACCGCTGTCTTGGATGGTGATGTTGAGTGGTGTCCCTTCACACCATATCTATAGGAACAAATCATGGTGTCAGGTGGTGTGACGCTCTCACTCACCCTTGCTCAGCTGAGTCACTCTTACCATAGCGAATCCCTGCTTTATATCTCTCACTGACAGTGAAGATCAATAGTGATGCCTCGCTCGGTGGGTGACGGTTGGGGTCCAATTCAGCTTCTCGTGGGAGACTGAAACGTGTTTGGGAGGTGTTGTGCTGAACTTGGTGGAGCTAGAAGGAGGCCAACACCTCCTGTGCTGTGGTGCATGAGAAATAACAGCAATAATAATATATTTGCAAATAAGCTGTGATGCAGCGACTACCAATGGGAGAAAAGAAAGTGGTCCGCCACCTGATGCAGCTGGATATGGAAGAAGACAAATAATAAGAACCAATAAAGAATAAGAATAACAGAGAAAACTAAAATAATAATGAATAATTTAATAGTAATAGTAGTAAATAGTAGGCCTACATGTATAATTATACATGGTATAATAAAATAAGTTATATAATTATATGTATAATAACTAAAAATAATTGACTTTTTCAAAATAAAAAAATATTAATAATTAAAAATTATTAATCTGCTCAAACTGTTTTTTATGTTGAGTGTGTGGCAGTTTAGCATCTCATATACTATTAAAAAAACTTACACTTGTTTCTCTAATCTTTTTGTATTCTATTTGTTTTCTTTTTATTTATTATACAATGAACAAAAGCAAAAAAGGCCTCTAACACTAGCTTGCTCTATTCTTTTTCTATTCTATCCGTTTTCTTTGTATTTATTATATGATCAAAAAAAAAACCTTGCTATGTGTACTGCATTAAGCTAACTGAGACTTGTTATAGCACTTGCATATAATTGATCTTTTGTTGATTTTGATTGTTTCCATTGTCCTCATTTGTAAGTCGCTTTGGATAAAAGTATCTGCTAAATGTCTAAATGTAAATGTAAATGTCATGGAACTCGGTGTGCAGGTTTGTTGGAAAGCAGCCGCTGTCAGGATAAAAAAAAAAAAACCTTGCTACGGTGTACTGCATTAAGCTAACTGAGACTTGTTATAGCACTTGCATATTATTGCTCTTTTGTTGATTTTGATTGCTTCCATTGTCCTCATTTGTAAGTTGCTTTGGATAAAAGCGTCTGCTAAATGTCTAAATGTAAATATACTAAATGTTCACCAGCAATAACAACCTCTTTTGCTAAAAGCATTGCAACAAAAAGGTTTAGTTGAACCCAAAGTGTATTTATTGACCGCTGGATATATGCAGGTATCGGAAATGGTACAATGGAAGGCACAGCAGATGAATAAATCAGGTAAAAAAACACAACAGCAGGTGTGGACGATGGTGGGATGAACAAGGAAGTAGGGATGGGCATTCCAAGCAAAAATAATATTCGAAAATATTATTCGATTATTATTCGAAAATTTGGTCAATCAATCAACGCATGCACGCACAAACACCCATAAACTGAGAGAGAGGGAGAGAGACGGGATTCACACTTTCAATCTGTATGATAAACTGTTTAATTCAGAAGATAGGCTACCTTAACTCAAGCCATATAATGATTGTAACGTGCTGAAACATATTAATATAATAAACACAACCGAATGACGGCACTTATTAACATAACAGTCCGTCGATTAGCATTGTTGTATTACAAATTTATAAAATGTTAAATCTAGGTTCCAATGTAATAGAATATATACTGAAAAAGTTATGTACCTTGTGTTTTACATTTTGAGGTAAAAAAAGGATGACCTTTCTAAGGAGATCAAATCAAGAAGCCCAGGTGTCTGAGATAATGACCTTTTGTCTTTATCCTCTTCCTGACCATCTGGCTTTTTAAGCTCAAAGCACAGCTGTACCTTTGTCTCTGTGATAATGCGAAAGTATGGCGATACTGTCAGACTGATTGGATCAGCACCTATGCATTGAATGACACTGTTATACTGATGAGATCAAGGCTGGGAAAATGCCTGTGTCGGGCTGATTCCTGTACTTCATTTGCATGCTATGGGTTAGATTGTGTGCCTTTAGTGGCTCCGTAGAACACGTTATTTGTTTTCCTCGCCTTTCTGAATACGGACTCAGCCACACCTCTAACCCAGTCGGGGGTGTTTGTGGTCCACACAGAAATCTTATTTGACATCGTCACAAGTTACTGTAACCGTTATATGCTACGCAAGTCTTTTTTTATGCCACGCAAGTCTACAGTGTGTGCGTGAGACAATGTGTTCTTCTGTTGTCTTTGACAGCTTTTAGGTGGGTTATTGGCAGCGCCACCCTCTGCTTACATGAACGCATCAGCACGGAAAATATGGGGAGATTTTTTAAGACAATAATTGCACAACCTATTCGATATTCTATAATTAA